TTATTTCCTCCTCCTCAAAGTCCCTTTCCACCCATCTTGCTGCCTCCTCTTCCAGTAGGGGCCACTCTAGTCCTCCTAAGTTCAATCTCTCCTCCAAAGGTCTTCTATAARGGGATTTGAAATGGTCCACAAAGGTTCTAGCTATTTCATCCTAATTAGATATCACTTCCCCATTAATTTCCAATATAGCCACAAAGTTCTTATGCCTTCTACCATTGGCCATCGCATGGAAGAATTTTGTATTTCCATCCCCCTCTTTTATCCACTTATGTCTTGACTTTTGTCTCCAACAAATTTGCTCTTTACTAAAAACTTCCTCCAAATCTTTCTTCAATTTCCATCTTGGTTCCCTTTCTTCCTCATTAAGAGCTTTCTCATTCTCCAACTTGTCCAATTCCTCAATCTGAGATGTGAGGGTAAGCTTCCATTCTTCAAGTCTTCCAAAATGGTCCCTATTCCACTCCTTTATCTTTGCCCTCCACCTTTGCAGCTTCTTATGGAATTTGATTCCCTCCCACCTTACCCCCCCTTAGGTCCTCCTTCCACCACTCAACTTTGTGAACAAAATCTAGGTGTGTCCACCACATATTTTCAAATCTAAAGGGAGTGGGACCATTTAGAAAAATTTCTGATCCTATTCTAGTGGGGTGGTGATCCAAAGTGACTCTAGGTAACGCTCTAGACACCAAATCTTCCCAATGGTTCTCCCAACCCATTGGGACTATGTGGAGAGGTCTGAGGGTTGCAGTATGCTGGACATTGTGGGAAGAAAGAAATATTAGGATCTTCTCAGAAAATGAGAGAGGGGCTGAAGATGTGAAGGCTGTGATCCACATAAGGGTTGTACAGTGGCTGAAATCACTAGAGCTATTTACAGACTACACAGTGGAAGACATGCTATTGCAAACTGTACTCAGATCAAACCAGTAATAAGGGTGTCTTGGACTCCCCCACCTGCTGGCTTCCTAAAGTTAAATTTTGATGGGAGTTGTAGGGGGAATCTGGGACAATCTGGGATTGGAGGTGTTTTTAGGGATGAGAACGGGGTCATTTTGCCCTGTTCTCAGGCCCAATTGGTGTGGGGGATTCCCTTAGAGCTGAAATCTTGGCAGTTATGGAAGGAGTTCAGAAAGCCAAGGAGTTGAATGTCAGGAAACTCATAATTGAAGGGGACTCGGAGGTGGTGATAAGGTGGCTGATCAAAGACAACTGCGGTTTATAGAATTACAGAAATGAAAAGAGGAAATTCAGGTGTCTGGTGCGGGAGATGGAAATCAGGATGCGTTTGGTTAAGAGATCAGCTAACTCTTTGGCTGATGGATTAGCTAAACAAGGGATAGAAAGGGAAGCAATGTTTTGGGCTATGCTGTAACTTGGTTGTCTCTTTTGTTTCCTTTTCTCTTGTACTCGGAAGATAAGAGTTTGTCTTCCTTGCTGTAAATAGTTTGATATTTCAATGAATTGAATGAATCTGTTATTGATAAAAAAATGGTTTTCCCAACCCACATTAAACAAAAATATGTTCAGCTTTGAACACAATGGATTTTCCTAAAAGTTGGACCAAGTAAGTCTGGTATGCATAAGAGAGATCTCCTTCAGCTCAACCTGCCTATAAATTCATCAAATCTTCTCATACTGGTGGTTATGGATTGATTGGGGTTAGAAGTTTCACTAGAGAACCTTATGACATTGAAATCCTCTCCCAGACACCAAGCACCCTCCCACAAACCCCATATTGCATACAGTTCCTCCCAAAGCTCATTTCTTTCCCTGTGCCTATTTGGTCCATAAACACTAGTTAATACCCAAGAAAACCCGTCATCCACATTCTTAAACTTTACTGATACAGTGTATCTGCCAATCAGCTCCTCCATTGCTTCCAATACCTCATCTTTCCATAGAATCACCATACCCCTTGAAGCCCCTCAGGAAGGGGCCCCAATCCATCTTAATCCTCTTGATCCCGACAATCTTCTGATCAACTTCCTATCCAACTCTGCTAGTTTAGTCTCTTGCAACATCACGACTTAGGATTCTCCCTTTTTATTAGATCTTTTATTACCCTCTTTTTCCTTGCACTCCCCAGCCCTCTCACATTCCAACTAATAACTTTCATTCCTTCACCTTTATGTTAACCCCTCCTTCTCTTCCATCTCTACTTAGACTGTCTCCTTTGGCCTCCCCTCCCTCTGAATTCAATATCACCCTCTACATCAGAAATTAGCCTTTCTACTTTTGTCTTTTTCTTCTTCCTTTTTTTTCTTTTTCTCTTAATTCTTCCTAAAGTACACCTTTGTCTTTTGATTCCCTTGAGAATTGTTATCCCTTAAAGATGAGTTCGCCTTTTTTGCCTTCTCTATCTTCTTTGTCATCTCCTCTTCCACATCTCCTTCCATACAAGGTTCTTGAATTCCCACCTCAGTTATTTTTTCCTTTAATTTAAGATCCTCAAAGAAGTCATTTATTAAGCCCTAGATCCTCTCAACTTCCTCTTCTACCCTTTTCCTTTCCTCTGCATCCCTCCCTTCTAACATTCCTGTCCCACCTTCAACTTCCTTTCCCATTCCCTTGGGCTGGGTAGCTGGTGCATCTGTTTCAGGCAGAACACACATCAGTGACCAAAACTGAATGGACACACATACCTGGAACTATGGGAGGTGGAGCAGGAACTGAAGAAATAGGGTAGTCCAAGTTGGAGATCAAACCAGTAGGTCTATTCTCTGAATTAGGCCTCTGTGGAGTGGGGTATACCGTTCTCTATTGCCTTTGTGTGCATCTTCACGGTACCCTACTGTCTTACTTTCTCTATTCCCTGTTCTTGCTGATTGTTTGGGGGTGATTTCTCAAAATCTGGTGAGGGGGAAGTCAGCACAAATTCGACTGTTGATGCTGTCTGCCCAGTTACCTTCAGTCCAGTCTTAGGGGCGTAATATTCTTTTGTTCTTCCAAGAAAAGAGCTTATGTGTTGAAGCTTTCCTCTTCGTTCATATCAAGTAGGGGTGGATTCGAGCCGAGCCGAGCCGAATAGTTTGAGGCTCGAGCTCGGCTCGCCAAGGTAGTACAAGGCTCGAGCTCAAGCTCGAGTAAAAAACTCGTAAGCTCGAGCTTGACTTGAGAAAAACTGTTTTATAAAAATATAAAAAAATTATATATAAAAATATTTTTATTTTATATTTAAAAAATAAAAAATTATAATAATTAGTAATTATTATATATAAAAATGAAATATTATATATATTATTTTCTATAAATATTATTATTCGTGCTCGGCTCGCAAGCCTCACGAGCCGAGCTATATTAGGCTTGAATTCGGCTCGATTATTAAACGAACCTATAAATTGGGCTTGAGCTTGGCTCGAAGCTTGGTTGAAACCGAGCTTTTCACGAGCTGAGCTCGAGTAGCTCGTGAAGAGCTCGGCTCGTGGTCACCCCTAATATCAAGCCTCATTGTTTGAGAAAACCTGCCCAAGCTTGTTGTTTCGAAGGAATCCGAGTCACAATAACTGGAACTGTCATCTGAGTTTGAAATTAGGTCCTGTATTTTCTCCTTTCCTTTACTATTCCACCTTTTGAACTTCGGATTGTGCTTTTCAGGAGAAGCCGTAGCTTTCCCTATACTCTGTAGTCTGTACCCATACCATCCTAGGTTCCTTGGACCTCTGTTTTGCATAAGGAAGAAGATGATGGACAGGAAAAATCGTCCATCAACAGGCTCACGTGCCTATTTAAAGGATCATGTGCTGAGGCCCTTTTAAGCCCAACACTTGGGCCCAAAGCAAGGCCCGATTGAAAGTCTTCTGCTGCTTTCGAAGGCTCAGGCCCATTATGGGATCTCACATGGTCACTAAAAGTGCCACGTGAAGAGTTAAATTTACTTGAACCCAAGATCTCAGTTCGGTTCAAGTCTGACCTTCCATCTGGCCGACCCACCCCCTGGAGAAAGTCATGGCCCATTAAGGGATCTCTCATCTTCATTGTCTCTGCTATTTCCACAACCATTCTTGTTAATGCTACTGTCCCTACATTCCAAATAGTTAATTGAATGTGTGTTTTTTTGGATTAACTTATTTTTCTATCCTCATTCAAGAGGATGTGGGGATCCTTGTATATAAACCACACTTGGGCTAAGGCATGGCATGCCGCTTTCAGGAATGCACTAGTATGAGCATAAAGAGGCAATATATGATCCATGTTCACAAAATTTTGCTAGAAGTTTTAAGGGTTGCCAACCTGGCACAACCTCCTTTATCTACAATTGGGGCTAGCAATCAAGCTCACAATGGTAGAGTTTTCAAACAAAATGGTATTGAAAAACAAGCACATTAGAAGATTAGGTTTTCCCAAATCTTCAACCCCTTGTGACAAGGTGTTCATTGTCAAGGTTCAAAATATCAATACAGCCGATACGCCGGTAGGGGCGTATCGGCCTGTATCAAGGCTCATTTCTCCTATTTTTTTTTTTTTAGTTTTTTTTTTCCAATTTGGTTCAAAGGGGTCAGTTTAAGGCCCATCTACCCCCTGAACCATGGTCTGGCCTGAAACACCCACTGTAGGGGCATATCGGGAAGCCCCTGATACGATACGTATCATCTGACACGGCCCGATATGTATCGAAAGTTTGAACCTTGCTCATTGTTTTACAACTCTCTTAGGCAATAAATCGAAGTGGACTATTATGAATGATGAAGACTAACCTGGAATAATGCTGTAATTACATTGGAATATGGATCAACGATTATTTAACATTTAATCCTGTTATCTCAAACAACTATTGCTTTAACGAGGATGTACCCCAGTAATCACAAAATTATACTACCCTGTTTGAGGTTTCCCCACCCTCTTTCTTTATTATATACAATCTTTTTACCACTTATAAAAAAAAAAAACAAAATCTAAGTATGAATGTAGAAACTATAATAATTTAGCTAGTATAATTTTGTGAGATCAGTTGGAAATGGTTTGTGCTTAACCTGATACTGCATGATTTCCGTGTTTGACAGGTGAGACCATACCCTCGGCGTGCTTTCAGCAATGGGGAGAGCAGTCTGTCTCTGAGTGAACTAGGTCTAACCAGCAAACAAGAGGCCTTATTCCTAGAGTTGATTTAGCAATCTCATCGTTTAGTGAAAATTGTAGCAACATAATTGGAAAATCTCGTTTAATTGTCAAAAATATACATGGTGTGGGAATCAGTTTCAACTTGTAGGTTTATTTCCTTTCCCCACCTTTCTCTTCCTCAAGAATAGCATAGAATTGGCAGAAAATCAAGGGGAGCTTCTTTACCTAAAAATGAGAGAAGGTTGAACTTGAAGCAGCCTCTCGGCTATACCTCCCATGCAACGCAGCTTTCTGGATTCATAGGCAAATGAATCTTCATTGTTTTTTTAATTGGGGCCTGATTGTTTGATTGATGAATTTATTAGATATGTTGAATTTATTTAATATCGTTTTTTCCTGGTAAATGGTTATTTATTAATTATTATGTCAAGCAACGACCCAAAGTGCTCTCTCATCATGGTGGCATGACGTTTGTTAAATGAACAGGAGGGGGAGGGTAATCCAAGTAGTCGGTAACATCAAACAAATTATGACCGCCAGGCTTGAAGCTTGTTATAAACAAAGTTCCCTATATTGCTCGAGTGTTAAAATTAAATTTTTGATCGAGACAAATTTTTCAAAAGAAGAATGTTGAGCTTGAGGCTTGAGCACACAATTTGTATAGAACTTGTTGGGCCCATGCGATGTATGGGAAAATCTGATATGAAATCCAGGTCGGTTGGGTTGGAGGTAAATCTAGGTCCAATTTTAATTAAAGGTGCAAACCTCAAGTTCAGTTCTGGCCCAGCCTAAGGTCAGACCCAAGTTTATCAATCCAGGCCCAATTTATAGGTTCAGGATTTGGTTCGTGTTGTGTAAGGACGGGTTTAGTCAGATTGGTTGGATTTGAAAGAATTTATGGATATAATGATATGTGGCCATTTTCGTTAGGCTTTATGGCCCAACTTAAGAATACAATTGATTCAAAATATGCACAAATCCCATTTACAAATGTCGTGTATATATGAGAGAGAGAGAGAGAGAGGTGATAATGGGCGGGGTCAGGCTTTGAACTTGTGATAAGGGTTATAGGCCTATAGCCTAGGTTTAAGCCTACACAGTTCTGAAATTTTTGGGCCAGGACGGTCTGCACTGAAAATGATCACCCTGTATACATGTATATATACAATTTGGGAAAAGATATCTATATCTATATAAGAATGATGAAAAAAGAGGCGAGGAATCTTCCACCAGAAGCCTTACATGGGTTTTCTTGGTTTCTCATTCTTTACACGTGAAGTTTTTCAAATAAATGAAAAAAATTAGCAACTACTTTTGTAAATGAGCACTACCATTTTTTTTGTTTAACAGCTTTTGTCATTAATTTTATTCAACGATACTTAATTATCATGTTTAATAATACAATTAATTAGCCTTAAAAATTACAATTAATTAACCAAAATAGGTGAACAAAGGATTCTTTGGTCTTTATAATGTCTTTCATTGAGATGGGTGCTTGAAATAGGATCTTTTACCACTATAGCCCTTTTATTTAGGCTCATTTTCCTTCTCACCAAGAAGCCATTTCGTTTTCCCTCTTTTTTCAATCTTTCTTTTTTTCTTTTTTCTTTTTAAATTAAATCATCCTTAACAAATAAAACCTCAAACCCAAGTACTTAATGAAGCCAAACCAACCCCATAGATCTCCCTCTCAATCTGTTATTTTTCTTCACATTTCTGTAATGTCTTTTATTGTATTTATCACTTACTCCCTTATAATGTCTCTGTCAATCAAAGGTTTGAAACTCCTTATCCTCCCTCTCTTTCTCGCACCTGCCCTCCACTATTGTTGGCAACTATAGGTGGATATGGCATCCAGCATTATCACAAAGCTTACAAGATGGGTGAGAATAACTCGGGGTCTGATCTAGGCAGTGAAAGTAGCTACTACTAATATCGTATTCCAGAAATCTAACCCTCATTACTCTAGCCTGCTCCTAAATCATACCAAATGGGTGAGTGAATTGGATAGAAAGGGAGCACATTAATCTGCCAAATTTAGTAGAGTTGATTTAAATTTAGAAGTTGCTAACTTATTTAAGTTTTTTATTTCTTCATTTTGCCCTTGTCTACAACAAGATAGGTTTCTCTTGCAACGCTTTGGTGGGCTTTCTTGTGCTGCAAGTGGATCGGTTGAAGCTCTTTCATATTTTTTCCTAATGAAGTGACTTTATACAATGTTGTTTCAATTGGAGGAGTGTATGTGGACCATGTTTTATTTGGTTTTGGTCATTGCTGGTAAACAAAGAAGTGCTTCAATTTTGGGTCTACACTTGAGTTTTTCATGCAATGATGGACTGTGCTTTGAATTTTGAACTGCATATGTTTGTCTATTCAATTTGGAAAGAGTACCAATACATACAAAATACAAGATTTACATTCTACATATTTGTATTTGTACTCCTTCCAAACTAAGCCTTGTGCTGTACAAAATCTTGTATTTTGTATTGCTAAACCTATATTTGCAGATATTATTGATCTTAAGTTTTGACTATAATCTGTTGTGAGGAATGAACATGTTTGCACATTTGCTTCTATGACTGTGGAGGGAACATTTTGTAAGGGTGGGAATACAGTGAAGCTTTAAGTCTTTGAGAAATCCAAATAGACTATGACTACTTCGTGAGATATAAGGAGATAGTGTCCAGGCTTTAAAGCCAAAGTTCGACAAGTTCATGTTCTCTTCAATGCCTTTTTGGTAATCCCTTTTGCATTTCATTTTCTATCTATCTATTTATTTATTTTTCTTACTAATGTTTCAGGAAAGTATAAAATTGTTAAATAATTGGTTGGAAGGAGAACGATCTAATGTGGTACATTTGTTGCTTTTTGGAAAAACTTGGCATCCAAGGAGCCTCTTGCTTCAAGTGTTCCTCTAAATGGGCTGTTTGCTTGCTTTGATGATGATCCTTTTTTTTTCCTTTATATATATATATATATATATATATATATATATATATATATATTTTGATTTATTGGTTTATTACTCCTTTGCTAGAAAACAAAATAAAACAATAAGAGAAGTGAATATTGTCCTAAAACCAACAAGCTCAAATAATGTTTAACTTTTCCAACTAATTCCTTAGTCCTTACTAAATTAATTTGTTTGTTGGGTCAAATTGAGTTTTTGTTTTTGTTTTTTTTTTCTCTAATGAATCATTCCCTGTTGGTTGGATTTGGATAGTAGATTTGGTTGCTTTTATAGTCTTTTAGTCTATGTTTGATTTAAAGGAAAAGGTAGGGAAAGGAAAGGAAAGGAAGGGAAACATGTACAAACCTTGTATAGGTTTCCCTGTCTTTCCCTTCCTTTTCCTACCTTTTCCTTCAAACCAAACACAGCCTTAATGGTTATTACTTTCATTCATTATGGTTTCCTAAACAAGAGGATTGAAACTCCAACATGGCAGGGTAGACGTTTACTTCATTATGTAGCAAAAATATTATCGTAATTGCTCCAATTGAGAATTTCTCCCTTGGTCCTCGTAGGATCTTTGGTTATACAAAAGTGGTGAGATTTCTTTTCTTTCTCCATCAAATTTCTTCCTTTCCTTTTTTTTAATATTTTTCTATATATTTGTTTCATTATTTTTTCTTTATCTAACACCAAGAATTTTACTAAATTTTCTTTATTTTTGTATTGTAGTTGTTGGTTTGGAGGAGACTTCCAAATTTTAGAGTTTTCCTATCTTCCACAAGTAAATTGCTTTTCATTGTAACTGGTATTAGTTTCTGTAATAGTTTGCAACATCTCCAATTTTTTTTTTTTATATTTTTACCATTTTACTATCTGAGTTTTTAAACATTCAATACCCATGCTCAACACTTCAATTTTTTTGTCTCTTGGTCTCTTATTTCATTTCCCGTGCACCGCACGGATTTGTCGCTAGTTCATATATAAATATAATGCATATATGTATGTATTTATTGTAGATGGTAGATTGAAGCAATTCTACAGCTTTTCTGCAGGCCGAGTAGTGATGTGTACAGACTCCTTGCAAGCAGTTAACTCTATCCAGGATACATCAACAGTGGCTTGGTCTAATCTTTCTACTTTCTGGCAAATTAAGAATCTTATTTTGAAAGTTTACTAATGCTTATATTAAATATATTCCTAGACAATGTAACTCTACGGCACATTAGGTAGCCCAAAAGACCATTGGGACAATTATTTTGGAATTCAGATCTGCGCCCCACACAACGTCCCACGGTACATTTTGGCTGTGTATTGGGAACATCTCTTGATGATGATATCATCATTTCTGATATTATCATTGGGAAATGTTTTTAATACACGGTGGGGATCAACTGCGTTGTGGGGCACCCCCTTGTGGGGTGCAGATATGAATTCATTATTTTGTGGGACGTTGTAGGGCACCCCTGTCGGCTTCCAAATGTGTTGGACCTTGTAAATACTCAGGCCTCGTTTGGTTCGTAGGAATAGGGGTCTAGAATCGGAATCGGAATGGGCTATTCTGATTCCAATTGTTTGGTTGGATGAAATCGGAATCCCATTCACATTCCTGCTGGAATGGTATTCCACCATTTGAGGGAATGGCCATTCCCTGCCCCTCCCTTGGGAATGAAATCCTATTCCTGTTGATTTCAATTTCCATTCTCATTCCTGTTTGAACCAAACAGACTATGGGAATGGACCATTCCGATTCGAATTCCGGAGGATTTTGATTCTAATTCTGATTCCGATTCCGACTGCAAGCCAAACAGGCCCTCAGTTCGTTTAATATAGTTTCTTTACCTATAAAAAAATTTATGTATTTGTTTGAGCAAATTTGATTCGAGGAGAGCCCAGGTAGGGTTGGGCCGGACTCAGGCTACCCAAGGCCTCAAGAATCAACTACCAATTTTTTGCCAAGCCCATGTTTTCTGGCCCACGCTTAAGCCCACAATCACAAATTTAGGCTCACTTTGGAAGGAGTATAAATATAAATTTGTAAAATGCAAAACCTTATATTTTGTATGTATTTGTACAGTGCATATTTGTACTTGTATTCCTTTCAAACTGAGCCTTAAAAGAAATATAAATATAAATTTATAGAGTACAAAACCTTGTATTTTGTATGTATTTATACTGTACATATTTGCATTTTATACTCTTTCCAAACTGAGCCTTAGGCACAATATTTACAAAAACTTGGGATGGTCCTTTTCACATTTTTCTTGTTACCGAAAAAAAGAATTGAATATTGCTCAAACTGATTTTGTGAAATCGAATTATTTATATTTCTTAGCGACAAATAATTGATGAAAGCTATATTCTTAAATGTCTACTGAATTGGTAATATATAGTCTCTCAGTCCGAGGTATGCAAATTGTTTTTCAGATCCTTT